ATTTTATGTTGTTATTTAGTCATTTTTCAGTCATTTCTGACTCTTCCATGACCCCATTTGGAGTTTTCTTGTCAGAGGTATTGGAGTGGTTTGCCATTTCCTTCTCCAGCTCGTTTTAAAGATGAGGAAACTGAGGCAAACAGGGTGAAGTGATTTGCCCAGGGTCACACAGCTAGTAAGTGTTTAGGGCTGGATTTGAACTCTCCATCTACTACACCACCTAGAAATAAGATTCAGAGAGGTCAGGTGACTTATTCAAAGCTGGTAGCAGAGCAGGAATTCAAACCTAGGTCTTCTAACACCCAATCCACATCTCTTCCTACTATACCATACTGCCTCTCTTCGGGGGTGGGAACAGCTTAGTCTTGCTTGTAAATCTTAAGGCAAGAAAGAAGCCTGCAGGTCCCTGTGCAGAGAGGTCAGTAAGAAATGAGCTTTCTCAGTTGGACTCCCCATTACCTCCACCCCCAGGGCTCCGTGGCTATAGTCCAGGGAGATCTCACCATCCATCTCTGGCGCTGCATTGGAAAAACACAACCAGGCAGAGTGCAAAGATAGCCTGCCTCAGCAGTCTCTCCGGAAGAGGAAGGGGGTGGGGGGGAGGAATGCCCTGGCATTTGGCACTGACCCCTGCTGTATAGGTGGAGGAGGGGCTGGTCCCCAAGGGGTTGATCTGAAAGGAGGCATAAAGTACCTCCCCCACCAAGGTATGTGCCTTGGGACCTGAAATTCCATTATTAACGGTTCATTTTTCGGTAGTTCATCTGCTCCCACCCCCTTGTTTTATAGAGGAGAAAACAAGAGGCTTTCAGAGGAACTGTGCCTTGCCAGAGGCCACTTATTTGATACTTCAACAAATTGATGATGGCTGATAAATTAACAGATGGGTGCTCCCTTCAGTGGCTTAGATCACAACTCATCCATGCCTCTGGGATTCTTGTCCATTTTCTCCTGCAATCTGCCAAAGGGTTTCTTTCCATCTTTTTTTCCCCAGTCATAACATTTCTTTTATTGTTGACATCTTTTATGCTCTTTTTCTATCATGATTCCACCTTTGTAACATGTTGTAGTGTGTTTATGACCACCACATGCCTGTACATTTGCCATTTAGATGATCCTCAACTTCAATTGCCTTTTTTCTTAATTAAAGAAGCATTTAAGACTGAGTTTCCAGGCTAGCCCAAGCTAAAAGTACAGGGGTTACTCATGGTCCAATTTCAGTATTGATAGGAGCTTTGACCTGCTCCATTTCCAATCTCCTTAAGGTAACCTGATGGTTCCATCCTCTGCTACTCCTTTTTGTCTCCCAGGGAAGCACCATATTGATGCTAAATTTAGTATGGACACCTGACCTACATAGCCCTCTGCAACTCAGAACTCCTGAGCTAAAGAGATACACTCATCTCAGTCTCCCTTGTCTTTGGAATTACAAGCGTACGCCACCATGCCCAATCTCTTTGGACTAGCTCTATGGGTTGTCCATCCAGCTGCATATCACAGTCATTCTTGATCCAGTTGGTTTTTTCTGTGTGGATAATTGAACTGAACTCTTATATAATTATGGATCCCATTTAGGAGATTTTACAATGTTTGGGGGCTTGATGCAATTTGCACAATTACATCAGCAAACAGGAGCATTTGGAGTTCTTCACCATCTATAGGGAATCCACCTTCAATATGAACTCAATGGACATCCTCCATGACGATGGAAAAATATCTTTGGTGAGCATGGGTCTTGCTGTTTTATGCCTTGCTTGATATTAGTAATCAGAGGGATGTCAATGTTGTCTCTGTTGTTACATCTTCCAGAGAATCTTGTGAGGTGTTGACATGTGCACGGGAGATATCTTTGGAGGAGGAAGCCTTTAATGAAGCATTTTAATCTACATAATTAATACTTTTTATAATCAACCAACAGTGAGCACAATGGGATCTTGTGTTACTATAGTTTTCAGTCAATTGTGTGTCTGTAAAGATGTGGTCTTTGTTGTTAATGAAAGCTGTTCCCTTCTGATTCCATCATTAAGGATGCTCTCAGTGTAAATGTAGATTGTGCTTATAACAATTTTGTAGAGATAGACATGTTAGTTGGTTGACATTCTCTCCATTGCCTTTATTTGATAACAAAATCTGAGATTTTTTCCCATACCTTTGGCATCCTCTTCCCTTGTAGTTGCCTTGAGAATTAAATCCTCAGCCCCCCCCTCAAAAAAAATTGGATCACCTACAGCATAGACCTTCTCTAGGTTTTATTGTTGTTCAGTCATTTCAGTTATATCTGATTCTCTGTGACCCCACTTGGGGTTTTCTTGGCAAAAATATTGGAGTGGTTTGCCATTTCCTCCTCCATCTCATTTGACAGATGAGGAAATTGAGGCAAATAGGGCTAAGTGACTTGCTCAGAGTTACCTCGCTAATAAGTGTCTAAGGTCAGATTTGAACTCATGAAGATGATTCTTCTTGACTCCAGGCCCGGTGCTCTATCCACTGCACCACCTAACTACCCCTCCTCTCATGGGTAGATTATGTCCAATTTAGCTACTCTTCATATTTTTGTCTTTGTAAGCACCTTTGTGTTTTCTCATACAGCACATCTGGGCCTGGAGTGTTAAGAATCCAAATATGGTGGTTCCAAGTCACTGTTGGTGAAAAGACTTTGTTATAAAAATCTGTCCAGGTTTTTTTCATTTTTCATCTATTGTCCCCCTTTTAGTTTCATCTTTAAAAACCCTTGAGACTTTGTCTAGTTGTGTCTCTCAACAAGCTTTTTAGTAAACTTGTTTCCCCCTCCATTGCCTTCTCACTGTTCTTTTCTAAGACTCTTAGAAAATACTTATATTTGAAACCACTTTCCTTGGCTGCTGTACCTCTACGCTTGGGCCAGAGATCTCAAGTGTTTGCTAGCTTGTTTAGTCTTTTAGTTATGGCAATTGATTTACTCTGGTTAAACTTTCTTAGGAAATGGTTATAATTTGTATTGTTGACAATCCCTCCACCCATGAATCATTTTTTTTTGTCATCCAGAGCTCATTTAAATTGGTTACATTGGAGTTGTTTTAATTGTCTGCCATATATTTTTTTCCAATTTTTATTCTTTTAGAGTTATTTTGATCTTTGCTCAGTCAGTATTCTGACCATACATAGTCAGCAGATTCAGGAATGATTCCCACACCGGTAATGAATCAGGTAAAACATGATCAATTTATTGTTTTGTGATTTTGTGTGTTTGCCCCATCCAACAAATTGGGGAATCTTTTCGTAAAGAATGTATTCATGATAAATAGGTATGAAGCTTCTGTGTAGTCTGCAAGTCACCAGCCTCTCTTGTTTCTTATTCCTGAGCCACATTTTTTTGGTGGTCTTGGCCTTTGGCCACCTTTGCACTGATGTCACTGAGTAGCAAAGTGTATATTGATTTAATTTAGAGCATTTTCTCCAGGTCTTACCCTTCTTCTGCCTCCTCATTTTCTACGACAGATGCTGGTCTTCATAATGATATTTTTGCAAATATTTACTATAGATGCTGCAAGAAGAGATGACCAAAGTGCTGAGAAATGATTCTTATTGCCTCTAAGTATATGACAGAAATCAATTCTGCCAACTCTTGTATTTGCCACTCAAAGGCGAGCATACGAGCCATCTTTCTATCTAATAGCAACTTCCTTTTGTCTTTTGATTTCATTTATATTAAGAATATGAAGACTGATACCATTCAGTTCCTTTAGCTGTATGACCAGTTATCCATCACCAGTCAAGCATCTCACATTTAGGGTACCAGTGGTTAAGTTCATGTTTAGAGATGGTCTAAAAACTGTGCTCCCTTTGGCCTCCTTTTGGCTCCTGCATAAGCAGAAGAGGCCTGACTAGGACTGAGAACCATCTTAAATTTTTCTTTGTTTCATGAGTTACTAGGCCCACAGGATTCATCACCAAGTAGAAAGCTTATTGGTGGTGAGCCCCAACTTGCTTGGCTAGGCTGGTTCCCAGAAAGCACACACAGTCTTTTTCAAAGCCTTTCCAGTAGGGTAGGAACTTTCAAAGTATATGACCCACTGGCATGGCCTTTGAAAATCCAGGGTCACCTCTATGCCGTAATGAGGTATTGGAGTAGGTCTTTGTAGAATCCCAAAGTCACACATTATAAATGGCAGTCTAAATTCAAACCTAGGTCTTCTAAGAAGAAGGTCTACATGAGGAAAGTCAGGGAACATTGAAGTTAAATATCACCAATAGCATCATTTTGAGGAAGGTCTACTTTCTTTGGTGGGGAGGGTCACCTGAGGGCACCAAGGCTAGTGTGGGGGGCACCCAGGGAAGAGCTTTAGATTTGGGCCAGCTACTCAAGCTGAGGCTGGGTTAACTGCCTTTTTATCTACTGACAATTTGTCAGGAGTGGGAGGAATGGGTGAAGGCACAGTGTTTAACAGCTCCTCATTAACCTGGAGGAGTGCTGAACTAGTCCTTAAGGACTTTGAGATCCTTCCAGGAAGGGGATGCTCCCTAATTTGTTCTCCAGAGCTACAGTCCTTGCATGGAGAAAGGAATTCCTAGGAGGAACGGGGCATGGGCAGGGAGCTTCTCTGGCCATTTTCTGATAAAATCTGTCCATACCATCAAAAAGATTAAAAAAAATTGTATGTTAATCATCTGGCTGGTTCAGTCAGTACAGACATGGATCATTCAAACCCTAGCTTTTTGTTTTTTTAAAATCTCAACACAGTTTCTCAGTTTCTCATAAACTCTAGACACACAAAGGAGCCAGATTATTTGGGGGTTCAAAGGTAGACTAGATAACTTCTAAGGTCCACCCCAACTAGAAGATTAGAAATTCTTTCTTGCCCTTGGTGTGGTCAGGTTGAGGTCTGCTGAGAAGGTGCAAATCAGCATACTTCAGGCTGGGGGGCAGGAATGGGAGGGAGGAGGAATTCCTGGTGGGGGTGGCCTTGGGCTTTGCCCCAGAGGAGAAGGGACCTTCACAATTCTGTCTTCCTTGCCCTCAGGTACAAGATGGTGGTGACGCCAAGGAGGGCGTCAGTGGCCATCGCAGGCTGCTGGCTGCTGTCCTTCCTCGTAGGTCTGACGCCCATGTTTGGCTGGAGTAACCTGGATAAATTGAAACAGGAGGCCAATGGCAGCCTAGGTGATTTGGTGATTAAGTGTGAATTTGAGAAAGTCATCAGTATGGAATACATGGTCTACTTCAACTTTTTTGTCTGGGTTCTCCCGCCTCTGCTTCTCATGGTCCTCATCTACTTGGAGGTCTTCTATTTGATCCGTAAGCAGCTCAACAAAAAGGTGTCGGGCTCTTCAGGGGACCCCCAGAAGTACTACGGGAAGGAGCTGAAGATTGCCAAGTCCCTAGCCCTCATCCTCTTCCTCTTTGCCCTCAGCTGGCTGCCCCTACACATTCTCAACTGCATCACTCTCTTCTGCCCAGACTGCCAAAAACCCAGCATCCTCACCTACATCGCCATCTTCCTCACTCATGGTAACTCGGCCATGAACCCCATTGTCTACGCCTTCCGCATTCAGAAATTTCGGACCACCTTCCTGCAGATCTGGAACCAGCATTTCCGATGCCGGGCAATGCCCCCATCTGATGATGAAGATCTCCCTGAGGAAAAGCTGGATAACTAGACCCTGAGCCTTCCTGCACCCAACTTTCCTATCCCCATCCATACCCCTCTCCATTGGGGTACCATGGTGTCTCTCTCCTCCACTCCCCTCTACAGATTCCAATCCTTGTCTGCCCATAGTTACCTTGGCAGTGCCATGGGGCATGAGCATGGGGGGGCCCTGAAGTAAAATCCAGAGCTTTAGACCATCTTCCTGCCAACTCCATATGCCAACCTGAAGGTTGGCCATACGATCTGGGTGGCTGTGGAGTTTAATGTCCTTCCTTTTACATGTTCCTGGGGGAGGAAGAAAGGGGGATGCCTGTGGAAATGAATGGGATTGGGCTTATTATGGAGAAGGAAGGAGGCAGGATGGGACTCCTTATTCTTCCAGTCAATATCAGTGCCCCATGTTTAATGTTCCAAGGCAAATGTGGAAGCCTGGAGGGGTGAAACACAGGAAGATCTGGGCTGAGGAAATAGTTCCTAGAGCCCCTCAGACTCTCATGGTGCAGCTTGGAGGAGGAGAGGACAGAAGTTGACTCAGAAGCCAGCTTCTGAGTGGGGTGGGGTACTTGGCAAGAAGGAGGGAGACTTCCCCTTTCTGCCTTCCTGGCTCTGGAGGGAAAAGGTAGTTAGGGAGAGACAACTGAGACCCAATACCCCAGCATCCTGGTCTAGGATATTGTACCCAGAGCAGCGCCAGGTACCTGCTCTAATGGCCCCAGCAGGTATAATCCTACAACTGGGGATGATGTAAGAACTGGGACCTAAAACTGTGGGGACAGTTCCCCCCATCCCATTCCTTGCTAATTCCCAGGATACTGCCAAGAGCTAGGACTCCAGTGGCTTCCAGGAGAAGCAGTGTCTTGTGGAACATGGGGGCACAGGGCAGAGATGATGCCCCTGGGTACAGCATCAGAACACTCTACCAGGAGGTAGCATTGGTTCCCCAATCTAGCCCCCACTTCTTTAAGTTGTCCGTAAGAGACCAGAGGCCCTAGAGAAGAGCTAGGACACACAGACACATTGGGGATGACACCTCTCCTGCATCCTGAGCTCTTATGTTTATCTGGGGAGGCCAGCTGGGACTCTGTCATCCCAGCTTGGGGAAGAAATAGTTTCTTTCAGAAGGACTGGAAATCTGGCACTAGGGCTAAAGCCTATAGGAGGGGGGAGCAGGGCACAGGTGCCAGGGCTTCACTTGTATCTTCATCTTGGGAGCTAGATGAGGGAGAAAGAGTCATATCAATAAATGGAGCCCATCTGCCAGCTTGAGGTGGAGGTGGATGTAGGAAACATAGTACCTGCTGCAAATGTGCCCAGTGCTAACCCACTTGGGGAGTTGCCCTGAGCACTGTCAAAAGCTGGGTTAGAAGTGTTTAGCACTGTTTGAGTGGGGATAAAAGGCCTTCCAAAAAAAAAAGGTGAATAGGGAACTTATTGATGAGCCTAACTGATCTACCTTGGTTTTGTTCTAGGACCCCAAAGGCATTCTGGGATGAGACAGTGCCAAGGTGGGGCTCCATAGTGATAGAGGGGACGTCAGGCTCTAGGTCAGATCCCCATCAATCTGCCTCAGCCTTCCTCAATGTGGAATGGGGGTAAGGAAGAATGTCATCCCACTGGAGCAAAGTGGGGAAAGACTGACCAATAAAGGATTATGAAACCAACAAGATACATTAATAATTGACCTGTGGTGGTGGGAACAAGGAAACACAGATCTAGAGGAGCTGGTGCAACCCATTGGATGGTGGTGGTGGTGGGTACTTTGGGGGCATGAGGGTAGGATGAGTGGGTACCTCCTTGTGCTAGTGAATTTGGAGCTAATAGGAGGTATCCACTAAGTGATCTGCCCATGCACTAAATGGGACTGCCAAACTTACAGTGACATACTCAAGAGAAATCTCTTCTCCATGACCTACTCAGAATACTCCTTCCTCCTACCCCAACCATGGCGTGATACACCTGGAGCATTCTCCACATTTATAGTGACACACCTTGAAACTCCACAGTAACCAATCTACAAACCTTCAGAGTGTGTGTGTGTGTGTGTGTGTGTGTGTGGTGCTAAGGTCTTCTGGTGTTACATCTAAACAGACCCCTCAGAACCACAGCCTAGAACAGATCAACCCCTTTCACTGACACTGACACCCTTTCAAAATAATCTCTCTCGAGTGACACCATAACACTTCTTTATTCAAGGACCCTCCCTTTGGAGATCCTGGAGGCTGGTCTTTGAAGCCCTGGATAGCCAGCTCACTCTCCCTGGTGGTCCACCGAGACCAGCTCTCTTGGCTTCAGATTTGAGTGGAGAAGGGAGCTGGGCTACCAGCCAGTGCGTACACAGAGAAGGGTCTCCTGGCCTGAAGATCCCGACTTGCTCTGGTGTAAGCTCCAGCAGCATCTAGGAGAGATAAGGCCTCCTCAGCCCACGAGATGCAGAGCTTTTCCTCCAAAGGAGGGAGAAAACCAATGGTATCTCCACTCTCTTCTCAACTCAGGTTTTCCTCTCCCAAATTCCTGCTCCCAACCCTAAACTCTACCACTTCTGCCTGCCCTCCCTCAGGCCTCTGAGTAATCCCTCCAACCTAAGCAGCATTACTGTCTCCATTGAATCCCACATATGACAAGGGAAGACAAGGATGACCACCCCCATTTTAAAAAGCATGAAACGGAGGTCCAGAGAAATTGATGACTTATCAAGTGTGAGTTAAGAGGCAGGTTAGCAGAGTGGCAAAGAAAAATTGAATGAGGACCTAGATTCCAATCTTGACTATGACTTTTTTCTACATCGCCTTGGGCAAGTTTTTGTGAGTCACAAAAGTCTAGCTAGGTACAGTTTAGAAGACTTATCTTCACAAGTTCAAATCCAGCTTCAAACGTACTAGCTGTGTGACCCTGGCCAAGTCACTTAACTCTGCCTCAGTTTCCTCAACCATATAATGAGCTAGAGAAGGAAATGGCAAATCACTCCAGTATCTTTGCCAAGAAAACTCCAAATGGGGTCAAGAAGAGTGGGACACAACTAGAAAATGACTCAACAAGAAAAAGTCTTCTCCACTAAAAATTAGGAGGGGGGAGGGGAATGGACTAGAATGTTCCCCAAGGTCCCCCTTCCAGTGCAAAATAACATTAAAAATTGGTGGTAGAGTTGAGACTGGAGCTCAGATTCTTTCCAGCATCATATTATTTCCATTTGACTATACTATGTCTGTAGTACTAAACCACCCCCCCAACCACAAAATCATATTAGATAGCATTTATGTAGATTTTTAAGGTTTGCAATGCATTTTACCAATATTATCTCATTTGACCCTCCCAACAACCTTGAGAGGTAGGCGCTATTATTATCCCCATTTTACAGATGAGGAAACTGAAGCAAACAGAGGTGAGGTGACTCGCTTAGGGACACACAATAAGTGTCGGAAGCTAGATTTGAACTTGGGTCTTCCTGAATCCAAGTCCAACACTCTACCCACTGTGCCTCCATCTCTTCCTGGAACAACCTTAGCCAGTCCTCCTCCCAACCTAAGCCTGGGCTTTACCCATGACTAGAGATTCCCCATCTTCCTTAGTGATAAGCCCTCCTCATCTTCCCTTTCCCCCCTAACCTCAATCCTGCCGATCTCAGGGTTTCTCTATCCCTGAGCACTCCCCAGTCTTACCAAACCTTACCAAAAGCCCCTAGACTTCAACTTACCCTTGCAGTCTGAAGCTGCCAGTATTCCTCAGTGTGTGGCAGAAGCTGTAAGAGATTCCCCCAATCAGAGCCTGCGGGCTATGGGGCTAGGGGGAGGAGGAGAAGCCTAGGGGAGATGTGTCAGCATTCCTGAGCTTCTAGATGCCAGAAAGAGGTCGTCTCCCTCCTCCCTCTGGGCTTGTCCAACTTCTCCAGGGTAGGGAGGGCCCACAACCTTGAGCTGATACCTCACCCTCACATCTCATCTCCTCCCCATGTTTCAAGTCCTTTCTAAGGTCTGACCTTGGTTTCTCCCACTGCTATCCCTTCTTGTCCTAGTTTTCTCCAGGGTTGTTCTCAGAGTCTACCCAGCTTGATTCAGCTCCAAGGTGATGGAGTAGGACCCAAAAAAAAGACCTGTACCAGCTTTAACATCTGCACTGGGGGTCTGCTCCCATCCCTTCCCCCATCGTTCCTCACGGAATCCTTCACCTTTCACGTCCAGCCGACAGTCCACAGATGCCTCGCCCAGGGCATTGATGGCCTTGCAGGTGTAAATACCTGCATCAAAGGGGCTGGGCTTCCGGATCTCCAGGGAGCACACTCCTTGCTCGCTGAGGGCCCGGTATTTGGGGTTACCCTGTATGTCCATCTTGTTTTTCATCCAGATGATTTTGGGCTGGAAAAGTAGGAGTGTAAGAGATATGGGGGTGAGGGTGGGAGCTGGAGAGCTCCCTGCTGGAAAGTCCCCCTAGCACTCCTGTGTGTCTCCCCCTCCTTACCACACCATTCCCTTCCCATATGAGCGCCTCACCTTGGGGGTTGCTCGAACAGAGCAGAACAGCTGCGTGCTGTAGCCAGGGGTGGTCGTATGGTCTGCCAGGGGGTGGGTAAACTTGGGGGCTTCTAAGAAGTCTCTCTCTGGGATGCCTTCTCTCTTGCTAACAGTATCTGATGAAGGAGGATGGGAGAGGGAATGAAACAAAGGTTCAAAACCCCAGGAAGCTGGAGCCATTGGGAAAGAGGCTTGGTTCCCTCCACCCCCTTGGAATAACGGCACTCCCAACACATATATAATATTGAAGACACTTTCACGTGAATGATCTCATTGCAGCCTTACAGTGATACTGTTGAAAATAGGTAAGGTTAAAAAAGAAAGAAAATAGGTAAAGTAAGGATTATTATATCCCCATACTGCAGATGGGGAAGTCGGGGCCTGGAGAATTCAAGTCAGTGACTTGTGAGTTTTGACTTTAGGGGCGAGGCAGGTTCCTGGGTTGGAATTCTGCTGGAATTGGGGGGAAGGGAGAGGAGGGGCAAAGGAAGGGAAGGGGGAGAGAGGGAGAAGTTTGTGGAGTCAGAGAGTGAGAGGCAATACATCCACCACTCTCGTCCTTTATTCTGTTTCCCTAGAACCCTGAGATGGGGCCCCCAGCTCCTGGGGCCGTTGGGAGGCAGGTGTGAACAATTTACAGGGACCTAGAGATAGGGAGACAGGCAGAGGAAATCAGAGACTGGAGATAAGAGAGAAACAAAGTCGGATAGCGATCTATCGGACATACACGAGCTACTGCCACTCAGGGCGATCTGAGAGAACATTGATTTTTCTTTTGGCAAGATATTCACTTTCCTTATTCTGTTCTGCGCAAGCTGCTGTCCCAGAGAGTCTGCCCTTCCTTGAACCTTCCTCTTCTGAGGGCTAGAGCAGCACGCTGGGCAGGGGACAGCCAATCTAGGATCAGGCGGGTGTGTGACCAGATGATCACGCCACCGAGTTTTAACCAAAAACAGAGCTAAGTGAACGTAGTGCGGTGTTGTGGGTGAAGAGACTGGAGTTAAGTCTTGGGTCTGCTGTGTGGTCTTGGGCACATCACTGTCTCTCCTAACCCTCATTTTCCTCATCTGTAAAACGAGGGCTTTGCAGCAGGTGTTTTCTGAGATCTCTTTTAGCTCTAACATTCTATCATTCTAAATAGTTCCCTCTATGATTTACGGTGAGAACTTAGGTGGCTCACTTTGTTTTTCCTGAGCCTCAGTTTCCTCATCTGTAAAGCAAGGACTTTGCATTAGACGATTCCTAAGGTTACCTTTCGCTCTGACATTCTATCATCCTAAGCAGTCCCCTCTACTATTTAGTTATGTGACCTTGAGGCCAGTTAATTACCTTCCTCGAGCCTCATTCATCTGCAAAATTAGGGGTGTGGATTACATGATCCCTGAGGTCCCCTCCAACTGTAAGTCCTAAAATACTCTGAAGGTGACACACTCCAATCATGGAAATGTCTCCCTTGTTAGAAACTGCTTTTAGAACCTACTGGCAGGCCTCAACACACTTTGGACCCCAAGCCAACTGGGCTCTGAATGATGTTTAACTGTCTTCAAAAATCTACCCTTAGAGTTCAACGACCTGCCGCCACTGAGGTTATTTTAAAAAAATGTTGCCCCAGTCATTGAGGGTCAGTGAGGAGACCCCAAAATGCTTAGAGCTGTATGTCTCTGGAATAAGCACACGGCTCCTCGGGGGGACAGTACTCATTTAGACATATAACAAACATTTAGACATTCAGCAAACTTTTGCTAAACACCCACAGTGTGCAAACACTGTACCATAGATGAGAGATACAAAGATATGACTTAGGCCTGACTCTCAAGGAACATAAACTCCAGTGAATGGAAAAACCAGTACACAAATAGCTATGAGAAAATAGATTTCATTATATAAATGCAAAGGAGAGAGGCCCAGGCAAAACGCTGTTATAAACCTGAGTAGGGTCAGATGGCTTTCAGTGGGGGGGTAGGAATTGACAGGGAGGGCTTCACCCAGGAGGGGGCATCTGCATTTGACCTTGAAGTGTGGGAAGACCATTAGCTGATGGAGATGGGGATAGGGGCTAGGAGTGGGTGAGAGGGTAATTCACTCCAGAGTTGGAGAATGATTTTGAGCAAAGCCATGGAGAGGAGAGAGGGCAAAATGAGACCACT